TGCTGATACTAATGAATTTTGAGGAGGGCAAACAAATCCTAAAAAGTCTTTTATAGTAGGCAGGTGGGTGGGGAAATTGACATTCCATTCCATTCATTTTGACTCTTCTAACCTGCATTGCACGGCTTTCTTTATTGAATTAATTAAAATATTAAATACAAATGGGGCCAAGGCCCAACCGTAAGTTTGTGAAATGACATAAAGCCCCAGCCCGATAACAAAATTTACCTTTTTATCCTTTTCAGCAAATTTAGAGATTTATGACAAGAGTCCATCTGTTGTGAATGAAAAAAGTCATGAGAAGAAACTTGTGCTAAATATTGAACACCTCCTCAGACAAGCAACTCTTATTATTAGCTAGCTGTTACTTACTAACATCTAACACCTAATTCCAATTTCCAACTATCAATAATATATTTCTTCATTTACAGCTTATTATCAATGCTACTAACACTCTGTAAATGGTAAATGATCATCAAACAGTATCCCACCAAATCAAACGTGGCGTGCCTTTCGATTCCGAATCCCTTGTAAATTGTAAGCATAAGAAGGCCATCTCACCTTTCTCCAAATCAAATCATACTAATCATTCTTCCAGAGTAAACATCTTCTTAAAATTTTCCCACACCTCTGGACCTTCCGGATGCATATTCACAAAATATTTCACAAATCGTACATCCGAAGAAGCAACAAGTGTGCTCACTGACAACATAGGTTTAGCAGCACCTTTCTCCCTAAGCCATGCGTACATTGATAATCTTGCACTAATTCTCTCCATATCATAACAAAGATAAGTTGGAAACGACACTATAGACTCCACAGGGTATCCCAAGTAATTTCTCAAGCACTCGATTTTCCTCTCAAGAATATCTTTCGTCTGATTTAAAACTGTCGGAGCCTGTTTCACCATACTCGATACTTGATTGAAATCCAAACCAGCCCCCACCAAACAATCAAACCTCTCCTGCAATTGATCTCCTCTCCCTCGGAACCGTTTCAGTGCTTTCACCATATCTTCTGAATTCTCTACATAACCAATTCTCATTAAAAAATCAATCTTTTCCACAAAATTGTTTGGATTCCTTGCAGCCACATACTCGGCGTTACAACTCTTCAACTTAAAAGCCAAGTTGAAAAACGCTGACGGATCCTTTTTTATAGTCTCGCACAAACTATGCTTATCGCCACTGAATTTCCTCAACACAGTCTTCGGTCCTTTCAGAGAGTGTGAGCCCAAAATTTCAATGTGGCTACACAGAATCTGGGCTATATATTCGGTTTCCATACCTATCTCAAATAGAAAATGCAATGCTTTCCAAAAGTTCTTTGCGGACTTAGGTGATAGAATCTGTGGGTTCTTCAATACCAAACCATAAACCTCGTGCATTTTAAGGCCCAACTTAAGCAAAGCACCAACCACTACGTACACTTGTTTCCCAGATCCTTCAAACAATAATGCGGTATCGTTCCTCAACAATGCCCCCATCTCTTCATCACTATAACCTACTTCCTCAAGAAAACACAATGTATCTAGTATTCTATTCCAATTGTACGTGTTTTTGCTAGATATATACCCTCCAATCCAGTGGCTACTAAACCCCAGTGCTTTTAATTTTTCAAGAATCCCTACAAAGGCGTTGTTTATTTCGCCCTCCAAAAGCAGAGGACTGCAAGTTACAAGCTTTATCACGGTCGATCTACCCAAACCTAATCGTTCGTACGCCCTCAATTTCATATCCAAAACCCCAACTCCATACTTGAAGATTTCATTCACTTCCTTGTACATTCTTCCTATCTTACTCCGAGGTACACCGTAGTCACTAAGCGTATGATAGTTATCGAGTAAGACTTGATCATCATGCAAAAATATCAGCCCTCGTGGAAGAAGGGATGCAAATTCGGGTGGTTTCAATCCCAAACTTTCGAAAAATGGCTCAAACTCATTGATGGGATGGTACCTGAAGAACTTTGTCAATGCTCTAGATATATCTTGGTCTTTTTCAACCTTTGAAATAAGGTAACCAAGAAAGCAAGGTGAGTTCTTGCTTATGTGCTCGGAATCGAGGAAGCTCAATCCTCTGGTGCAATGCAGATAATCGAAAAGGGCAGCTTGCGCATCAGTTTTGGCAACGCGCGGAGTTCCGTCGACGGAGTTGGTAATTGACAGCTGAGCTGAGGATTTAGGCATGAAAAGATTGGGATTTTTGATCGGAGATCCCAAACAATGGAAGAATCGAAATGGAGGGGGGGTGTGAGAAATGGTGGAATTCTTGTCACTAACACATCGGTACAAGAAGAGGTTGTTGAACTGCAAAATCATTTTTGAAAATTTACTAGTGCTTATTTTTCGAATCAACATGGAGAAATCTGGAGACCAGCTCAATAAACCCAAAATCGAAAACAAAGAAAATCTGAGGTAAAAATCAAAAATAACATTTTTGTGTTTCTTTAATTTCTGAAAATTTGGGGTTTAGGGTTTTTGGAGTTGATTTTTTTTGGTGGGCCCAATATAATATATTTGGTTTATATAGGCCCAACATCAAAACTGGACCTTTATGGTTAAGTAAGCCCAATCAATGTATTTACATAAATAATTCAACAATTCAAATATGTATTGTTTCATACTTGTTTAATCCTAAAGAGGCAGATCATGCACACACCTGAAACTTAATACATGCATATACTACTAATTAGGTAAAGTAGAAGAATTACTTCATTTCAAATTATGATCACAAAACACGACAAAATGAAAGATATATAATATCCAAATTGATAAAGCCACACACACACGTACTCCTCCAGGCTGGAGGTAATTTATATATATAATTATATAAATAATTAAAGTGCAGGGAAATTAGCACAATCAGCAACCTGAAATCCAATCCTCTCCTTGTCCAAATCATACACAACTTCAACATTCTGCTGCTGGAAGCTTCCGAAAACCCCAGCTGGACCGTAGTACCTATCATCATCATCATCCATACTCTGAAAAAGCAAACACTTGGCCACACTATAGTTACTCGGTGCTCCCATTGCATAGAAACAATTCCCCTGTGGCAATGTAATACTCACATTATTCAAGAAATGGAAACTGATTAAAGGAAGTGTTGGAAATTTTGAGTATTTGACTCAAATTTTGTTGAATATTTAAGTGGTTTAATTTAAATTCTCAAAATTAATTTTTGATGAATGATAAATTAATGGATCATTTAAAATATTTAAGTGTGGAAAATAATAAAGTGAAATGCCACCATTGAAAAAGATGGAGGTGTTTAAGCACCTATTAAATTGAATAGGTGTGTGATTAATGGGAAAAGGTGTGATACCTTTTCATGAAATTATTTTCCTAAGAGTTGTGACTTGTGGTCATAACCTTGATAATCTATAAATAGATTCCAAAATCCACCATTTGATTAATTCATTTTTGACATGGAATTCAATACATTAATTGAATTCAATTCTCATCATAGCATCTCATTGCATATTGTTGCATTATCAAGTCCTTTTCTCCGTGTCTTATAAAGTCCTAAACGTCGTTTCGTTCGCCGTGTTCCAATAATTGGTGTGCTACTTTGTTGGAACTGAAATAGTCGTTGTATCTTGGGAGACGATTGCCGTAAACCGAGAGCACTGTACGGGGCAAATTTGTCTTAAGGAGAAAGAACCTAGTTCTTGCCTCGACTACATTTTCTTGTCAAACTTCTGTCCAAATTTTGTTCGTTCCCATTTCAAAATACACACACCCATCTAACAATCTTAAGACAAACTTTTTAGTTGTATTTTCGAGATGGAGAAGAAGATATTCTGCCCAAAATCCAAGAAGTTACGAAATCAAATTGGAGAAAAATATCATTTTCGGACAGAACACAACGTCTATGTTCTAGCCCATTTTTGAAGGTGATACGGTCAGAATCTGTGGAAGTACCATTTCACAAACGTTGTAGAACATCAAGTTAGCTTTCCAGAACATGTTAAACCACCCAAATTGGAGTTCATATGGAGAAGTTATGATGAAAACACAAAAGGGTGCCAGAACTGCCAACGCAACTTTTCATGAATAATGCAACCGTTCGTGAGGCGATGCAACCCCAGCGTACCAAACACTTTATGGTGCACGAAATTTTGGTGAAAAACGACCGAATCGAAGAATAATGATGGAATCACACCCCAATTATGATGAGGTTTATATTATTCTCAATTCTTGAATATTATTTAATATTTTCATGGTTCCATTGTAGGTGCAATCTTATACAGCACACATACTTCGACTTGGAGGCATAATTTGATCATGATACAGTCCGAATCTCAGAAAACTTAAAAGACGAAAGTTGTAGGAAATTTCGTTGGCTATTCGGATCATATTGAATCAACAAAATCGGACATCGGATGCTAAAGATATGATTAAGTTATTCAGTGTTGCCAAAACTGCCGATGCATTCCTTATGCGAGAATTTCAAATTCGTCCCAGAAATTTGAAACGACACGTTTATAATTATTTCGGGTACGCCTTTTTATTTATCAAAATGTATCTCATGCAATTAAGTGATAATATTATATGATTAATAATATGGTATTATATGAGATAGGAACATGATTATGTTGCATGATATAGTTGTGGCGTAATAATATTTGCACTATATGTTATAATTGGCATGATAACATTATTTATGAGAGCATGATAAATCTTGAATGTTGTTATGTTCGAAGCATGATAGTTACTTTGAATGCTATTTCGATATGTTGTTATTGGATTAATCTTGGTATATTCATGAGATTTTGGTGAAATTCGTATGCAGCATTTAAATTAATTTAATGCATAATATTATGATATGCTAGTATTGTCGCACACTTGAAATAGCATATAACAATATTTTATGATATGTTATATTATGTATATGATGTCTATGTCAATGAGTACATCGAATTAGAAGCATATGATATTCGTTTGTTGAAGCATAATTTTTATCAATTGGAAATTATGTTGTAGTACGTGATTAAATTATATGGATAATGATATGATATAAATGATTTTCAGCATGAGAATAATTATGTTTAATCATGGTTTATTAAATATGCAAATGGATTATTTATTCCATATTAATCTTGAAATGCTTATGTACATATAAGTATTTTGTATGCATAAATTATATGATGCATGTGAATATTTGGAATTATGTAATTATGAGTACTTGCATATATGTATGTTTATAAGCCCACGGTTAGTTCCAAATGTTATGTTGTATCATAGATAATTCATGATATTTGTGATATTATAATGCTTAAATTCAATATTTAGTATATTGAAAATCAAATGGATGCACTTTTACATTTAAATAGATAAATTTTTATGTGTGTGCAATTAGAGACATGTAATATTTGAAATTGATATATAATCGAAACTCTAGAAGCTAAATTTCTAAATGAATATTTGAGCAGTTGTTATCTAAAAGAATATCGAAGATGATCGATCTATTGGATCGTCTTGACTTTTGGATATTGTATTCATAAGACATAAGTATACCTTATGAATGAATTTGATGGTGTTGAACATCTGATCCATTTGTAAACAACAATGGTTGTTTTTTCTTGCGGAAAATGTCAAACAATCTCTATACGAGATATTATTGTGGCCAATTGCACCGTTGGATCAATATTTCTATATTGTGAACGGTAGGAGTTTCTAAACTCTAGATTTGAATTGTGTACAAACTGTCACAATTTGATAAGAACTTTCTTGATTTGAGTATCTTGAGAAGTTTCTTATAGTGTGTTCTATTAAGACAAAATAAACACACATTGGTGATTTAAAAGATTGTACAATTTACGAGAAAAGTATTTGTTACTTTTGTGGTATTTATACCAAAATTTTATTATGCATCTTTGTTAAGTAACAAAGACGAGACCTTAGAAGCATTTAAATGAGAATGATCATGGTATATGAATAAAAATTGTTATTCAAAGTGATTGACGTGGATGATATGGAGTATTTTTTGACAAGTTTTGTACTTATCAAATCTCTAGTCCTTATCAACCACAGTTGAAAGTATTGAGAAATGAAATACTCGAACTGTTAATGAGTAAGAAAGCCATGTTGATAATTCTAGAGTAAGCTAGAATTTGTGGGGAAGATTATGGCTCACCACTTTCTCATTATTTTACCACATAAAGGTTTTGGACCATAGAAATGTGGGGGTGTTTTGACTAAGGTAAATGTACCAAAAGAGCCTTAAAATGTTGAAATGCATATTTATTGAATATGCTAAGTATGAAAGTGCTCAAGATAGCCATTCTTGATGCAAATAAATGTACGATTTTTGAAATTAAATGTGTTTGAAAATTTGGATTTTGACCCAAGTTTGACAAACAATTTAAGTAGATTCCATTTGCTAAGTTATGGAATAAAAAGCTACACTTTGACTAGATAATCTAGTGTGTTTAATTTCTCAAACTTGACTAGGGGTGAATGAGAAATTAATGTATATGGTCACCATCCCATATTGACAATGAGCTTTAATGCACTTTATTAAGTGCAAATTGTTAGCTAAAGATATATCTCTCTATGAGATAAAGTGGTCATTTATAAAGTGATAAATAACCAAATGCGCTCAATAAAAGAGAGCTAAAAATCAACAGTTGGATTTTGATTTTCTAATTTATGAGTTAGAAAATGAACCTCGAGCAACTAATGAAGTGTTGTGCAATTGGAGGTTAATTGTCTTTGAGACAAAGAAAAATCAGTGAAACTCGCACAGTATGAACTTAAATAAGTTCTTGTTATCAAATACTTTTAAACTTGGCGAGTTTGAAAAGTACGTGTGTGATAAATGCACACGAGAGTGCATGTTTATGAGTAAATGACATGTTAATAATGCGGTGTAATCATGGTATTATCATGAAAACTAATGAAATATTAGTAAAATATTTCAATGTGGAAAATATGGTACTATTGATGCAAATCTTATAGAGATTAAAATCACTAGGGATTTGATGAATTATTGGAGTCTCAGTATGTTGAGACAATGCTAGTCATATTGAATTCATCAATATAAGACTATAAAGAATAGTGGTGAACAATGGTTCAACTAAAATATTCTTGAAGAGATTGTAGTTTAATGAACTACATGTTGATTGGCTCATTAAGCAAGTCAAGTAAATAGGTCATCCTATATGTAATTAGTTGATGAACCAATAAGTTTTATTGGATGTACAAACGTAAATTACATTATAGAAGATATCCAATTGTACTTGGAAAGTAAATTCATATAAATTGGATATGTGCTACTAAGATAATAAATGTATAACTCGATTCACTATGGAATTGGAGACATAATTGGAAGTTAAAGAAAAATGTTGGATAACTCCATAATTTTCTAGAGGACATTATGTGATGGACTTAGTTGGTGCTTGAAAATAATTGTAGTAGTCAGTTGGCTATACGAAAGAGCACAAAATAATATGTAAAATGGTAAAGTCTCGATCATAGACGTAACACCATTTAGCAATTGATCTCTAGAGAAATTATAAACGTTGACTTTACGAAGTCAAGAGATAATTTGGTCGATCCTTGACGAAGGAATCAATAGAGATCAAATGTGCTAGTTAGTGATGGGAATGGGTCTATAAACCCACAACTCAAACGAAAATCCATGATGGTAACCCAACCTTGTAGATTGGAGATCCCAAGATCTTGGTTCAATGGGACAACTAAGTTATGGAAATTCAAATCGAGCACTTGGAAATAATTCCTACCATTCCCTAAAATCCAAGTGCTACCTGTCGAATGTGGTAAGGTTAAGTCTAGTGACTTTTAATGATTCCTACAACCTTTTAAGGTGGAATACGGCAGGGTATTCTTTATGGGAGATCACCTATTTAAGTGTGAAGTATAGGGCCGCTTCAATGAAACACTTATGAATCCAAGAATTGGTCCAAGGCCGAAATGGACACAACGTGAGAACAAAAGACGTTAGAGATGTTATTGTGTAAGTGTTGTTGTCTTGGTTTACATAAAAGTTGATTAGTTCAAGACATCGCGTTCACTAAGCAACAAGTAAATCCGACAACATTTTACTAAGGAAGGTTCAAAGCCATAAGCTACCTCTCCCGATGCAATAACAAATCGCTTGGACTTTGAAAGTGTCTGCATGCATTAATTTCATTCATGTGGGGGATTGTTGGAAATTTTGAGTATTTGACTCAAATTTTGTTGAATATTTAAGTGGTTTAATTTAAATTCTCAAAATTAATTTTTGATGAATGATAAATTAATGGATCATTTAAAATATTTAAGTGTGGAAAATAATAAAGTGAAATGCCACCATTGAAAAAGATGGAGGTGTTTAAGCACCTATTAAATTGAATAGGTGTGTGATTAATGGGAAAAGAGTGTGATACCTTTTCATGAAATTATTTTCCTAAGAGTTGTGACTTGTGGTCATAACCTTGATAATCTATAAATAGATT